TGAACTCACCTGTCAAATTTTGACCAATCAGAGCATAAAAATTGGACATAGAGAGTGACTAACGCGTGACCGTGGTGAAAAAAGTCAAAAGCAATTGCCTTCCCTTCCTGAAACAGTTGGCTGAACTTTCGCGTCCAAGGTCAGTTTGAAATCAAAATTTTAATAGTTCGGCTCATAAACACAACTTATTTCCTATGCATTTAAAAAAATTGAACTTGAGCCTGTGGTCATTTGAAAACTAGTAACTTGTTAACGAATAACTCCCCAAAGATATTCGACCTCGATGGGTCGATATCTGAGCCCGCGATACAATCTGGTGATACTGGTCAGCGGAAACCCTTTTATTGACAGCTGTCAATTGATCACAACATGGATGTGCAACATCAGGTTGCAGGGGCGTGCCGGTTGCAGGCTCCCAAACTAGCCAGAGAGTGTGAGATTAAACCATTGATTTCCCTGTGGTGCGAAAGGACGGTTCTACCTAGCCTGAATTTCATCCGATTACTTCGAGTCGTTATTACTCCCTCAGTAACGTCTGAATCGACCGGCCGTTAATGCCGTCCAGTGACGTCACTACTCCTTGACCTTTGCTTTAATTCATGCAAAAAGTAAAACACGATTTTCAAGTGGCAAACCGAGAAATATCGTTTGGAAATGTCTGCATGATACAGAATTGCTTTATTTTTTTCGATCGTAATTCATGGTTAACGTTCAAACTATCAACTGCATGCAGTACAACTCTGAACCGGTTGTACTGAATTCTATAATCTGAATCAAACTCGGTCGCAATCACGCAATGAAATAAACACACACACGGAACACTTAGTTCAAAAACACAATGCTTTGCTTTAATTGAAAAGAAGCTATTTGGTCCTTAACGAAGAAAAAACAAGGAAACAAGAAAGAAAAGCTAAAAGAATCATTACACTTGTAAAAATAGCAAGAAGGTCAAATTATAATATTGAACTCAGAAAACTTCGCGTAAACAAAATCACCGGCCGCCGAAACCACAAAGCGGCTCCAAATGAAAAACCTACCGACTCTCCGCAATGATCCTTCATTCGCAGCTCGATTTAGCATTTCAGTTTCGAAGACAAGGGCAATTTTGCTGTTTAAGATAAAGATTAAGCTTATCGAAATGTTTGAACTACACGAAAGAATGCCAGGGATGCGATCCGCTGAATATCAAGCGACAATCCCGCTAAAATTTTTCATAATTATAGATAATTATTCGAATGTTTAGACAATCAACCAATCAAAATCACTACCCGGTTTTCGGGTAGTGAGTGACGTCACTGGACGGCATTAACGGCTGGTCGATTCAGACGTTGTTGAGAGGAGAAAACGACTCGAAGCAATCGGATGAATTTCAGGCTAGGTTCTACCTCGTTCGGGCTGATTCCGAACTCCCATCTCCCACCCCAAAAGAACGTACGTAAGTGCGGTGTACACTGACGTCATAACCAAAATTTCTTGGACAGATAGTTTACCAAATTTTCCTAGCTATGGGGCTCGGCTCGCGTGCACAAAAGGCGAGAAGCTCCGCTAATACTCACCAAATCTTGGGAATAATCTGTGAAAAATCCACTTACGAAAATCGTATTGAAGTTCAATAGAAAAACTCTTAGAAGAATAGAAAGGTTATCCAGAAATTTTCAGTCTTTCTTTAATACGGCTATAGAATATTTGGTCCTTCGAACAAATATTTTACAGAAAACGGTCCTTGGGTGCTCCTGACAAAATGGGCCGAGTTGTTCAAAGCTTGGTTTAGGTAACCCACAAATAGTGCGAGATTCGAATTCAGATTTGAAAGCTTAAAAAGCATTTCAGTTCTTATTCTTTTTGTCTACAAGTTGATGATTGGACGCTCTAAAAACAGCAGAGAAAATTATCCGAGGAAATGCTTTTAAACACAAGAAAAAGAAACCCGGGTTAAATTTATCCCCGGGTTAGGCGCTAATCGGCTTTCGATCAACTGGGCCCTGAGCTTTATATCGACAGTGGTTTCTGTACCCAAAAAGTAAGGCAATACTGAAAGTATGATCTTACCTGAAGTGACAAGCTCAGTTGTTGGTAAGAGAAACAAAACCAGCAGGATGAAAACTGTCACTGCATAAAAGCGCATATTCTTGACACCTGTTAACAAGAAAAGAGATTTGCTGTACGTTCACTTGGATGAATTGTGTCAGAAGGAAACAGTTTTTATAAAAAGAGGATCCTGATAAGAATCGGAAGTGCAATATTATCAGGAGATATGGCACTGATAGGGTGTTTCTGAAAGTGGTTAATTACCCATTCAATCCTCAAAAAGTAGTTTTCCTAGACTAAAACTCCAGCACTTATGAGCTTTGCATAGCATTTAAGCCAATTTTTAAGTGTTCAGCGAGTGAGTGAATGAATTAATGAATCAGATTGAATGACGTCCGTTTCGAATGTTGTGCGCATACACTTAAGCAAAGCAGTAGCACGTTTGTAACGCAGTAGCCGTTTGTAACCATGTCGATCGTCCTATAACTGTCGTGTATCGACGTGTAACACGGCATGCTTTACCGTGAGGACGGGAGAGATTAATAAAATATAAATAACAGCTTTACTTAGAACTAAAATCTTTAATATCAGACATCAGACAATCCGTTTATTGGATTGCGTTCAGGACGTACTATCTCAACGAAGGAGAATCCTGGTTAAGAGACAGACGATTAAAAAAGTTATGAAGGGGAGGATTTGGAAAATTTTCGAGCTGCTTGAATTGTTTTCGTTAACATTTCGTTAACATTTTTTAGGCCACTACAGGTATACTTTTTGGGGCTACTCGGTGTGAATGAGTTTTTTCTTATAATATTTTCTCTTGCACGAATATTTTTGTTGTACTTCGCCGGTCCCCCGATAACAAGAGCCATTATGGCTCTTCAATGCCCATAACTAATACGTCATAGACCTGAGACTTTACGTTCCTAGAGAGCCCGTCGTTTCTTGAGACACATTGTATTTGAGGGAAAACTTCGGAGAAACAAAAACGTTTAGAGTTGTTACCGGGGATATTGTGAACGCTAAATTCGGATGTTACATTTGAAACAACAGCATCACATTGGTTTGTAGAACTACTGAAGGCAAATAATCCGCAGACGATTGAACATTTCGAACGAACTTCGAATGACGACCTACATGCTGAAAAGCAACTGTACAATTTACTGTAGGAAACAAGGGGAGGAGCTTATTCCCATACATTCTCTCAGGTAAAATCTCACAACTTGCAAAGCGATCATCAAGGGTCTTGCCAACGGATTTGTCTACTGATCATGCGTATTACGTCATAAACCAAGAATCCGTGGTTTCGAGAAGGAACAAGAGGCGGGATTTGTTTCTCACTATTACATTCTGTTAATCTATAACATAGCTATTTATCATCAAGGTATCAACGTGTGAAGCTGGGCGATACCTTTTCGGCATGGACGGGTGTAGTAGCTGGGGTTCCATAGAGGTGTATTCTTGGACCACTGTTATGTAATATTTATACGAACGATCTCAACTTTTCTATCGGGAGGTGCATCTTTATGAATTGTGCGGACGAAACGAAAATTCGCACTTCTGATCCCAATGCCCAGCTCGTCGAGGAGGATATAAATAGGGACTTCGCCAACAACCTACACTGAAAAAGGGAACGAAGGGGAAGCCTGAAAAGTATCAGCTTCGTTCTACAGTTAGTAACGTTTTTATAAAGTACAGCTGGTCTGATTTATGCCTTAGGGTATAGGGGATCGTCAAGACGTGTTTGTAGAAGAGAATGAAGAGGGTGGTTAAGTCCTTCATTTTGCACACATACTCCTTACATATCTTATCTCTCCTACGCGCATGGATCTCCACCCGTGCTTTTTCTAGGGCATCAGAGTAGCTATCAGCATCACGGGAAAATTATCTTAAGCGCCCTTTTCCGTATGGATTCAATTTTGTCAGACAGATAACCTGGAATGGAGTGCCACACAGGCACAAAGTTCTTTAGAACGGATCTAACCGAGCTTATAAGACCTTTAACATGCTTCCTTGATCAACGCCGGCTCACATATATGTAGAATACGTAGGGAGTAGAGCTTATTGCAAGTTTTTTTATATATGTAGTCAACATGATTATTCCACGTAAGGTCTCTATCGATAAATACGCCTAGAATTTTGTAAGTCGATACACGTTCTTTAGCGTTGTTGCCTACAACTAATGGTCCAAGAGTAAAGTTAGGATATAACATAAAGTTAATTAACATCTCCTTACATTAAATGGGATTTAGTGTCATGTTGTGATCCATAGAAAATTGTGAATGTCAGATACGGCGGAATTGAGCAGTCCTGGGTACAAACTTGACTCTCAGGTGCCAGTCAGCTAAAAGATTATTCGTCATTATTGTGAAAAGTATCACTCCACGTTTAGTTCCTTGAGGCACACCTCCCTTGAGGAATTTCTAGTCTGATAATGTTGCACCTATTCAGTCTTACAGCCTGCTGTCTATCTGTTAGGAATGCAGCAATCCAATTGATGAGCGCAAGATCAACCTCTTGTTTTCGCAACTCAGTCATTAAGATGTTATGGTCAATTAGATCAAAGCATATCGAGAAGTCGGCGAAGAAGATCCGGTTCCTAGATTAACACAGTCTACTGCCTCGTATAAATGGCTTGCACCATGAATAGAAGAGCAGCTGTTGTCGAGTGGCCTCTACGCGCAAACTGTCGCAAACCGTCGACGTTGGAAGATGTTAGAAGTAATGGGATGTATCCCTCCTTAAGAAACTTGTTATAGATGTTTGGAATGAGAAGATAGTTCGTGGTCAAAGCCTTAAGCAATTTATTTGGGATGTTGTTGAGTCCTACAGCTTTCGCAACATTAAGCGACAACAGGGATCGGAACACTTCCTTATTGCAGACAAAAACTTCCTGTGGTACAAGGCTTAGGGGAGAATCACGGGTCAAAGGTGTAATATGGTCTGCACGACTTACAAAAAAGTCATTGATCTTATTTGCAAGTAATGTGGTATTCAAGGTATCCCCAAGAAACTGATGCTACTACTCCTACTGTATGTGACTTTATTTGCCTCCACCACTTACTGGAGTTAATGGATTCCACTTGAGCAACTTCATCATGATAGTAGTGATTTTTAGCTTTTTTGACCCCGCACTGGACCTTATTCCTCCAAAATTTGTAGTTCGCAGAGTCCTTTCCATGTCTGAGAAATGCAGATTGTCTTTCGCGAATCCAGGCTTTCAGTTTTTTAGAGATCCAGGGACGGTCAGTTAGCGGTGTTTCTTAACTATTTTTCGTGGAAGGAAGGTATCTATAGCAGAAGTAAGTCCCATCATCAACAGCCTGAACTTGTCTTCACAAGACTCAGCATTAAGAACCGTGTTCCAGTCCTTCTCAGTCATCCAGCGCCCTAGCAGACGCCATGCACTGTCGCGCATATTGCGTGACTCTATTTTCTTGATGACCGGATTGTGTTCGGGTGATGACATTGGTTTGGCCAAGATGGTATGATGATCAGAGGATGCGACTTTGGGCAATTGCGATACACTGAACAACTTACGGTCTATTTGCAAAAAAAAAAAAAAAAAAAAGGTTAGGGAACCTAATTATAAAAAAAAAAAAAAAAATTAAATTTTTTTTTTAAAAGGGAAGGTATGAAAAATGAAAAAAAAAAGAAAAAAATAATCCTCAAAAATAGTTTTTAACACAAGACAAAAAAACCGTGTTTATATTACCCCCATTTTGCGTGATTCTATTTTTTTGATGACCGGATTGTGTTGGGGTGATGACATTGGTTTGGCAAAGATGGTATGATGATAAGGGGATGGGACTTGGGGAAATTGCGATAAACTAAACAACTTACGGTCTTTTTGCAAAAAAAAAAAAAAAAAAGTCTAGCGTACCTAAGTCTCTAAAAAGCATTACAGTTTTAATTTTTTGTCTGCGAGGTGATGTTTGGAAGCTCTAAAAATAACAGAGAAAATTATCCGAGAAAATGCTTTTTAACGCAAGAAAAAGAAACGCGGGTTAAATTCAACCCCGGGTTAAGCGCTAATCGGCCTTCAAACAACTGGGCCCTGATTTATTTCATTCACATCTATCACCCTCATCTCTTTCACGGGAACATATGCCAGCAAGCACAAAGACAATTATTTTCCAAAGGGAAAATTTAAACTATTTAATAGTTTGTTTCAATCAGTGTACTATGTTTTTTCAATACGTTTGATTTCTATTGCCCACTTTGTTGCCGTGCGTTATCTTCGGTACCAAGAGCTATTATGTAACGAGGATAAATGCTGTGTCGTGACACATCGTGCGGCAGAAATTCTAGTCGTGTCGCTTGGCGTGTTTACTTGGCTTGTTTTCGTTTGTACGCATTGCGTGCCTATTGCAACTTTAAATCAAAACAAGCTATCTCGATTACTCTATTTGGGCGACGCTCAAATAATAATTTTTCTCCGCAGAGTTCGGAATATGCAACAGATAGCTGCGAAAAGCTAGAACCAACCTTCATCCTCTCTTGCCAATACCTATTACCTCGATCGATAGTCCAGCGCGCGTTGTTATCGGTTAGAAGTTACGCGGTTGCTCTGAGTGTCGCCATGGATAATAGAAAGACTGGATAGGAAACTTAAGTCACGTGGGCTGATTTCTCATCGCCGATTGGTTGTTTCGTGCTCCAAGATGGCGTCTGCTGGTTCCATCATAGTGGAAACTTGTGACGAAAAGACGGCGAAATTAACGCGTAAGCCAGTCGAAATGTAGGGTTTGTTGTCCTTTTTGTGTTCTTTTCCCTCTGGTTTTAGCAGTAGTTGAAGGTTTAACCGATATTATTTTCTTTGTTTGTTGTTACACGGCAATGACGATCCCGCAAAGCCCAATGAAACCTTCATGGTAAGTATTTGTTGTTACTACTTTGTGTTATTTACACTTATTTTTGAGAAAATCGCGTCCCAAAAGATGCCTCTACAAGAGCAAATTTCCCTACGTTTGACGACCTTTTTGGGACGCATATATTGAGAAGTCCCTTGCTTATATCTGTTGAAATCCACGACTGAATGATCGTGTTAAGATGAAATTGTGGCTTAGGCATAGTTACAGAAATGACAGATGTATATTTGATCTAACTAGGGTATCTAAAAGATAGTGATGCTGCGGCACATTCTGTTGATACTGGCATTAGTTAGGCAGTGAGACTTAAAAGAATCAAAAATGACATTGAATGTCCTATTTACATGTTGGAAAGTACTAGAATAATTACTATCAGTCTATAGAAAGAACTCATGGGAACGTTGTTTAGAAAATGATCAAGTGGTTATCAACTCTGGTTTTCGCACAGTAAATTGTAGGAAATCATAGAAAATCAGATTGGTTATCCGTATATTTAATATGCGGTGCACGATATTTTCTCTGGAAACACAATACTTTTCTTGCTGTTTGTTGCACTTTATTAAGTAACAGTTATTTAGCTATATGGAAATTTTATAGAAAACAACAACAAAAAAGACAGAAAAAAAAAAAAAAAAAAAAAAATTAATAATTCGGTAGGACTCGAACCCGGCACTTTTGACCCGACGCGACTACACCTAACCACTTCACCACAGAGGATCATTACAAAATCGTTTGGAAAAGTCTTCCATTTTATTCCTTTTCCATGAAACTTCCGCCGGCAAGATGATCGCCAGCCGCATTAACCGAGCTATTAACAGTGAAAAAACAATGTAAACGCATATTCCATGGCAATGAATGAATGAAAGAGCATAATTATGCTTTTCAAAACGCCGATACACGTCCTCGTCTGCAAAGTAGGACACAAAACATATGTTTTGTTATCTCGATTTCTGCTGTTATTTTGAAGCGAATGGTCAAAATCACATCCATTTTCGGCTCATACAGTTTCTTAAGAATAGCATTGCATGACATTTTCTCACTTTAACATGACCTTCTAGCAAGCTGGAATTTGTATATGCCGCGTGTTGGGGAGTCGAAGAGCAAATGCTCATCTTCTCGTCAGGTTTAACACCTGGACGAGTCAAAGGCTCTTGAACTGAAATCCAATCCCCAAGTTAACCATCGAACTCATCTGAAAGACTCCTGCGTGTCTTAAAATTTGGTAAGACTTCTAACCGTGCTGTAGAAAATTTGCCACAAAGAAAACTCTAAGTCTGAGCAGCGAACGATGCACTCTCTCACCCACCGAACTTCCCCGTGTTTTTATTTGAGTTGTTCGTGGCGCAATGCACTCTGGTTAAATGCAATGCATTGTGGTAAAAAATGTGGTTAAATGCAATGCATTGTGGTAAAAAGTGATGAATTCGAGAATTCGTCGCCCCTTATATATTTCCTTTAAATCCTGATTATGTTGCTGCTCGCTCCCTTCGGTCGCTGCGCAGCAATAAATTTCGATCGAAAATGATCCAATTCATAGAATCAAACGCTTCATTTGCGTATTGACTATTCATATGCTACGTCATTCAAAGAAGTTTGCATTCGATAAGGATGTTTACAATGTAAGCTTTGAAGTAGTGTAAGAATTTAACCTGCACTGTACCTTGTAATATAGATATACAAGCCTTGAGTACTTGAGGTTAATTCTCTTCATACACGCCGGGCCCAGACGCGCGAAAAAGCTGCAAGTTTATGTTTTTAAAAATGGCGCGGGAAAAGTATGTTTTTGATAAGAGACTGGGGACGAATTACTTTGCTTATATTTAACGGGTCCTCGTGCCTTCTGGGAAAATTTTTGTGCTTCATTCAGCAGAAATCTTGGCAGCGTTTTTTCTGAGCTTTCAGTAGATACCAAATATGCCATGTTTTTGCTCGAATTTACATCGTAAGTAAACTCAATGCGAATAGACTTCGACGAACGAGCTGTCATAAAGGGAATTTATCAAGGTTTTGGCTCGGATAGAATTTAAAACTACTCCAAGTAACAGCATTTGAAATGGACAAATAACATCTTTGAGATGTAAGTAAGAATCCTATGTTTTTTGTTTTGCTGAATTTTTGCCTGGATCAAAATGCTTGAGCTCGACACATGGCAATGTTTGTCTGTTTCTTTAGGTGACTTGGTCACGTTATGCCACACACCAAAAACACCCGTTTCAGTGTTGCTGATTTTATGAAGAAGAGAAAGGAAGCAAGGCAAAAGGCAGTGGAGGAATGTAGAGTGTTAAAAGCAGAGCTGTATAGAAATAAGAGGAAAATTGACAGACTAGAAACAAAGGTTAGCGGAAATTAGTAAGATTAAACTTACAGTACTGTCATAAGTGACACTGTGAACATACATGTGGTTATTGATAAACAATTTCTAATTTGTCATTTCCTGCAGATGAGAAATATTAAACCTGACACTTTTTTAATGTATTGATTGAGTTTTTCTTCTTTTATCAAAGGTCAGTGATTCAAGGATAGCATTGGCAGATATAACTAACGGCACTCCAAATAATCAGGTGAGTAGCAACCCCCAAAATATTTTTTCAGCAACCATTTTTTTAAGGGTGATGGATAATATTCATTACCCCCTTTATCTTTGAGGTGCTGAAAAAATAATAAATAATAATTTTTTGCCTTTGCAGTTACAATTGGGGAACACTGATACCAGTGCACGAACAAGACCCCCAACTATTTTGGTGGATGGGAAATCAAATATGCCACCAAGAACAGCTGCGAAAAGACGACATGAAACACTGACACATGCTTCTGCAATCCATGGCGGATCTAAAAATAACCCAGGTCCAGCCTTTGATGGGATGTTTGACACACTAGCTAAACGATGTAAAGTAGATAAAATGAAAGATTATGTTCTGGGTCAGAAAACATTAAAAGAGAAAGTAGCCTCAGCTATGTTTAAAAAAAACGTGAAAGCTTTTGAAAGCTCTGCAGAAAATGCAAAAAGAAGCATTGCAGTTTTCTATAGTAGTGGTGTAATGGGAAAGCGAAAATATAAATCTGTTCGAATTTCATTATCAATGAAGTCAAATGAAACTACAAAGGGAAGATCAGCTATAAGTGTTATGCCAAAGTGCCCAATTCCAAAATTATTGCCATATGACAAGCTTGTGAAAGAAATAAACGAAATTGAGATTGGAAATGTGTACAGGTTCGATGAAGAGTTTCCAGGGGCAATCGGAGATGAACTTACTCAAGGTTGTTTTCGAAAGTTAGTTGAGTACTTGCCACGCCTGGCAAAATTCTACCTCAGAAAAGATAGAAAGGAAGCCCTTCTGTGGTTTGGCAAAACTGAAGGCACTTTTTTAATTGCTGTGGGTGGGGATGGTTGCCCATTCGGAAAGAATGAGTCAGCTTGTTCTTTTTTGTTAAGTTTCATGAATGTAGGTAAACGAGTTGCATCGAGCAATGACAACTTTATTATTTTTGGTGGAAATTGTGAGGAAACATCACTTGTTGTGCGTAAGTATTGTCAGTTCTTGTGCAAAGAAATTTGTGAGATAGAAAACAAAGTCTTTGAAATTGAGGGCCTTCATGTTACATTCAAATGTGCCGAGTTACCTAATGACATGAAAATGTTGGCCATGTTAGGTGGTGAACTATCTAACAGTGCAAAATATTTCTCGTCCTTTGCAAATGTGTCAAAAGACAACTGCACAGACCTGAAGGGGACATTTGCAACTGATAGCACAAGCTTATGGCATCCATGGAAATATGAGGACAGAATTAAAATTGCAAATGAGGTTGAGAAATTTAAAAAAACCTTGTCTGAGAAACAGCTAAAGGAAAAGCAATTTCGTAGCAAAGTCACTGAATTTATAGCGCGTAAAAAAAGTAGACAAGAGTTTGTTCCCTTAATTGGCAAATTGATTGACCATGCCCACGTGGAACCTTTACATGTTAAGAACAACGCATGGCAATATTTCTTCAAAGAAGTGTTAAAAGAGGCACTTGCAAAATCAAATATTGCAGACAGCTGCAAAAAGTTCTCAGACATCCCCAATGACAGCATAATCTCAAGGGTTGTGACTGCACTACAGTTTGAGGTGAAAGCCAAATGTTTGGCAAGGAAAGTAAAAAACTGGTTTGATGAGACACAAGGAAAGGGTAAAGATCTCCAGTACAGATTCACTGGGAAAGATTCGAGGCTACTTTGCCACAATTTTATGAGACTAATTAGATGGCTTAGTGGAGAAAATGATTCTGAGCATCAAAGAACAACATTATTAGTTCTTGCATATCTTGGACTGAGACTAAGGGATTGTGTTTCACTATTCAGCAGGTTTGAGATTTCAGTAGAACAGCTCACTCAATTAAGTGTTGCTGCTTGTGAATATTACCGGGTAAATGCTTTGTTCCTGTCTTCTTCCGTAAATCCAACCGTGTGGACTATTGGACACATTATTCCTGCCCACACAAAAGATGTACATGAGAAATATGGGCAAGGCCTTGGGATTGTAACTATGGAAGGGAGGGAGGCTAAGCACATTGCTTTAAAAAAACTCAGTGAGAATACTTTCTTTCACAGACGCTGGTATGAGATATTTAAGCATGAGTTTGTAATGCTGGTATGGCTTCCTGAACAAGGGTTTGATCTTAGTACATATAAGCACAATGGTATATACATACCAAACAGGGTTTTCTCTGACACAAGGTTCTGTTATTGCAACCTAGAAAAAACTGATGCCAGTGATGAAAAATGTTCATTCTGTGGAGATCCAATTATGGCACTCATCCAACAGAGTGTTGAGCAGGGGAAACTTTTGCCCCAAATTGCCCATCAAGTATCTGCGTCCTCTTCGCAATCAAGTGGACAATTTCATGCTTTTCGAAAGTGAAGTTGAGAAAATGATATCCCGTTTGTTTGAAAAATATGGAAGCAATCAAAATTCAATTGAAAGGGTACGAAATTCGCCCATCAAGTATCTTTAGAGCCCTGACAGAATGTTTGTAAACACCCTTACATTAATATTTATTTGTAAAAAAGAGTATACTTGTACCTTTTAAAGCAAAGGAGAACTATTTATTTGAGGCAATTTTATTAAGTTAACAACTTTGTATTTCTGAAAGTACAGGTACAATTTTTGTACTTTTATTTATGGATAATATAAACGTTTAAAGTACATGTATAGTTTGCATTTCAGCCATCTCCCTGAGCAATTCACTCCCAAAGTGAGACATCTCTAATAGGATATTGTGACTCAACTCATTTATTTTTCTCTTTTAGCTACTGATTGAAGCATTTAGGTACTTTATCCTGGGAGGCACACCAGGACACAAAGTCCCTTACTAAGACTTGATCGAGACAGCTGAAATTCAGGCTAACATTAAACCCGTTACAGCACAATTTAATTTATACATTTATAGTTATGGGTCAGCCAATTCCAAGCGTGGTCATCGTCCCTCCCTGCGGCATTTCTCATCTTTTCCTCAGAGAGCTGCAAAAGCCCCACAGTGGGGCCAGCAAATTTTTAGAAAACCTGACCACGAGGCTTAAAAATATGTCAACAATGTCCCACAATATACTATTTGGAAAGTTTCACAAATTTTACTGTTAAATAAAGTTTACAAAAAAGCTTTCCTTTTTAAAAATTGCAGAAAATATGAAAATCAGTAATAACAACAGTCCTGCTCCCGGGCGGAATATTGATGACAAATGCCCCACTGTGGGAAAACCAGACTTGACGAATGCCCGGAAGGGAAGATCACGCTTGGAATTGACTGAGCCATCAGGGCAATAAATTGTACTTTTCATGGCTCATAATGAGAATTTTGTAACAAAACGTTTTTGAAACAGACATTTAACCTGTTAAAGCACAACTTACTGAACACAGTGCTGTTTATGATAACACAGTTGATGTAGGCTCATAATGAGCAGTTGTTAAAAAGTGTTATATTAAATGTTTTTAACTCTCAAAAGTGTAACCAAACTCGTTTATATATTGATAGTGGCATTTCATCAGCACGTATGACTCCCTTTTGAAGTAAGATATGGTAAAGGGTTTTGAAGCTGTTACAGTAACTCTCGCTTCTCCTTTCCTGGCTCCTTTCCATTGCTTTGAAAAATATCCCATAACTGCATTCCGGGAAACGTCGCAAAGTCTAGACAAATCTCTGATGAGTCTATTCTCTTCAGTGTACACAATGCAATCTGACCTACGGCTTTCTGAGTGGGTCACCCCATAGCTCGACCGTGCTTTCTTTATGATCTCCATAATGAAACCGAAAACGTTTGCTGGCAAATCCCTTGTTACTACCACAGTCCATGGATCACGAGCTTTCTTGCGAGGAGAGAGCCTTCTGTGTAATTTTTTCAGCCATAACATAACTTCTTGTTCGATGACCAAGCCAACTTCAAGCAACGAATTTCGTACCCTTTCGATTGAATTTTGATTGCTTCGATATTTCTCAAACAAACGGGATATCATTTTCTCAACTTCACTTTCGAAAAGGATAAAATTGTCCACTCGATTGCGAAGAGGACGCAGGGCTCTCGTGGCTGAAATGATTTCTGCTTTGGCGGCCATATTAGATCAAAGGTGTATACCGCTGGCGGAACTTGAAATTACAGCGGGCGCCAAATTGCACTTTTGAGCAGCGCGCGGGCCCAGCGTGATACATGATTTTTTTTAAAAAAAATATTAATTTAAGTTGTGATAAACAATGCAAATAGTACAGTCTGGTAAAAATAAATGAAGAAAGCACCAAAATAGAGGGTTGAAATCGTGTTACGTTTTCTTCACAGTCTTCTTTGTTTTTCAACTTGATCATGTCACAAGCCTTAAAAGTAAACCGAGCATACTCTTGATAGTCCTGTATGGCATTACATGTAAAAAAAATAATTTTTACACTTTTATCTGTTTTAGTTAAAATGGGGAAAATAGGAAGAAGAAGGAAATACACTCATCGAAAATATGAAAACAGTCAACCTACAGGCAACCAACAAACTTTAAGCTCTCCAGTGTTACGTTCATGTCAGCAACCAACTGAAGATCAGTTTCCACTTCGTCACCTTCCTCCTGGTATTCTGCACCAGCCCTCACTTTACAACTTCATGCAAGTGTTCTCAGTTTTGTGTGAAAGTGATGTCTTGAAAAAACAATTGGAATTTAATTAAACACTCTGGGTCCAGTTGCTCAAAGCATAGTTAGCGTTAACCAGCGTTTAATACCTTGACAACGTATTGGTTTTGATACTGCTTAACCAATGGTTAAAGCTAACCATGCTTTGAGCAACTCAGCCCCGAACTTTTTCTGATGCTGTGCACCTTCACCAACAATACTCCAGAGAAGACCCTCATAGTAAACACCGATTTCACCTTCATAATTTTAGCATTAAACAGAAATGTCACAGAGTTCATCGAAAATGGTCCTGAGCATTTAACCAACTTGGACAGTTTTCTTCACGTGCTACGGTTCATTGATGTTAGCACCATTTGCCCCGGAAAAGAAAATGAAAAATTGAAAGGTCTGCACACTCTGGGGGAAGAAATGGGGTTTTCAAAGACCGCCATGGCATGGTAAAGGCGAACCTGTCTAATGACGTAATCAGACCACTCGTCTGTAGAGGTTTGTGGCATTCTGGCCTTGCTTGTGACCCTTGTAAAGTTTACAATAAGACTCTGTTAACCATGCTTTCTAACCAGAAGTCTAACAATGAGAAATTGAGCATAAGCAGTCATTGTGCTTGGAGCAGATTAAGTGAAAAGGAAAAGGAAGAAAGAATTAAGATTTGCACACTCGGAAGGAAGATTGCAGCTAAAAAAATGCACTCCCTAGAAGAAAAGTTCAACAATGTATGTAACTAAAATATCAATTTTACATGTAGGTAAACAAAACAATCATACCCCTTTGCTTTTGCCTTACTCATAGTCTTTCTCTTAGCCAATAATACATGTACCAATGCAAGGGAATGGCACAATTTTTGCTTACCACTGTCGTACGTGTCTAGCACATGTCATGACTTTATGACAGATTGTGAAGTCCAAAATTAGACACATGATGCATGCTAGTCGCAGTTTAAGGAGCACATTGTTGTCCTGAGATGAAAGTATTGTTGTAAATGCCCAGGTTTGATTTAGTAAAGGCGAATTGTGTATCAACTGGTCTAGAAGTTCAGTGTGAGAGCGTCGAGTGCTGCAACGAAATCTGGCTAAGTTTAAAAAAGGTCGGATTGAAACTTCGACATAGCAGAAGAAATTAAATATTGAATAATCCACAAGAGAAAGGCCACCTCTGGAAAGAGAGAGAGACATTAAATTGGGGAAAGACATTGCAGCAGGTGCTGTTTTCATGCTTGGCAACTTCTGATTCAAAACTGACAACACTCTTGAGAACTTTTCCAGCGATGTAACCAATGACATTTCTTTCGACGGTGGTGAGGGATGGCTCGATGGACGTCTCCCCGGCGTATTCTTGTCTGATTTTCAACGCGTCGACCACAGATCTTTGTCGAAACGAAGAGATGTCCTCAAAAATCTGGGTTATCATCATCTGTAAAAGAAGGGTATCCACAGAATCCAATCGTAAAAACGGCACAGTTCGGTCCACTTCAGTATCAGTGCCTCGTCTTGTCGAAACTGGTTTAGGTGTTGTAAGACATCTTGACGCCTCCCAGATGAACTAACAAGATCATCCCGCGAGAACGTGATCGACCAAACTTTGTTGCAAACGAAGAGAAAAAATGATGTGACTTGCTCTTCTTTCTGTAGTTTGTATTTGAGTTTTTCTGCATGCAACTGCGCAGAAATAAATCTGGAGCCTCCAATACCAGCTGTTTGAGCGCCCGTGGAAGATATTTTTTGAGGCGAAGTAACTGAACTCGATACGCACTTTTCACTGAAAAATTCCACACATCCGAGGGAAGACAGCACCGTCCTGGTTTTCTCCTGATGTTCAGACAACCGGGCTTTTTCTCTTTTTTTAGGCCTTTTTCCTTGGCAAGATTCTTTGTGGTTTTTCAACTAAGCTCTCAGATGATACGGCTTTTTACACTTGCTACATTTTATGACCACATTTCCTTCATCGCCGCTGTCACTTTCGCTATCAATACAGTCTTCTTCCGACTGAACTGCTATCTCACCGTCTTCCTCAGCTTCCTCAATAAATTCTGCCCAATCTTCTTCCTCCCACTCTTCAAAAAACTCTTCGACCTCCATACTAAAGTGCGGTGTTACGGATTATTTTCTTTGTTTATCTTTGTTAATTTTGTTTCCGCACAAAAGGATCACGAAAGATTTCGCGTGCTTAATATTGTGACGTCACATTTTCCCACTATGTTGGAACCGATCGCGTCGGCCAGTTTCCTATCCAGTCTTTCTGTTATCCATGGTGTCGCTTGCGTTTTGCAATAGACCTCTTTAGCTTGTATGTTTTGTTTTCCCAATACATATCACACGCGAGCGTGAATTGATCAAAAGTATTACTCTTTTGATCAATTCACGCTCGCACGTACTAGGCATTTTTAAAACTTTATAGAAGGACGTTTGTGAGCAGGGAATAAGTCAGCACAGAGTGATTGTCGGCGAATTTCTGTAATCAACCATCGTTCTGTTAGTGATAAGCTAGCCGTTGGTTCACTCGTCTTGCTTGTTTGGGACTGAGACTTATTCCTCCAAAGAAGGAGAAAGAGTGTCTGGTAAATTGTTTCCGGTCCCTTCGGGATTTTCTGTTTTACGTCATCCTAACCATCTCTTACTTGCGGCCGCGAACAATAGAAACGTTCATCATTACCTACCGACTCCTCGCGGCCCCTGTTCAAGCAAATCGGGATTTTTTCTGGAATACTGACTTAATATTTCAACTGTAAGTACTTTCCTTAATATACGCGCTACATGTCTCATTTAAGGTTTACTTCAACAAGCGATTTCTACGTCTTAAATTCCCAAAACGAAGACTATAGCGACATAAATAAATAGAATGGCACTTTCTGTTGCTTTTCCTAGCCGATACATCATTGTCATTGATAGCAAACTGCCTAAAAAAGCGCTTAAGAATGTGGTGACTTTTAAATTTTGCCTCAGTTTTGTTCTAACGCATGCGCCATTATCTACCGTGACATAGCTTAAAGTTTCGGCGTTGTCATTAAACTCGGAGAAGCGCGAATGCATAATCACAGCATAATTTTCCTTTTCTTGGTATTTAGAGATACTATAGTTGCGAATGAAGCTGCCAAACCTTTATTTTCACCCCTGTATCTGTAAGCAATGACATTTGATATGCAATGGCGTTATGTAATCGGTATACCGCTTGACTTATTTTTCAACATCGCTGTTAAAGTAAAACCGTTTAGTTTTTTTTCATCCACTACGGTGAAAATAAGATGATTATTAAAGTCCGTTAGAGCTAGAGAGCAGAAAAAGTTGCGTCACTGTGCTATGTTAATTTCTATTTTCTGACGGTCTACCATCAATCCACGGTCTACCATCCTGCAACAGTAAGAAATATAGTATATTATTATATTTTTCTTATATGATGGTAGACCAGTAGACCGTTGAAGCACGTAAATTCCTGACATTGCTGCGCTGGAAAATTGCTTTTCTTGGGGACAGTGTCTTCCTTTTTGCAAGGAAATAAATTTCGTTACCAAGTACAGAACTACAAAGCCACGTTATATGCGAGCTCTCGCGACTATGTTGAAATACGCGCGTGAATTTTCATGCCCGATGTATATGCCTAGCCACTCTCGGGCTTCAATTAAAATCGAAACAAAGTTGTAAGACGACCAAAAGAGTAAACACAAATCCAAACTTGTGTTAAGTAAAGTAAAGTCGACAACAGCTGCTTTTTTAGCGTAACTCTTCTTTCCTGTAAATGGCAGACGATAAAAGAGGAACCACGTCCACGTACTTATCAGAAACAACAACAAAAAGCTACCTCCTTGATCTAGCGGGGCATCTTACGTCACTTTCCTTTCATAAATAAACATCTTTTAACCTAGTTCGAAGAAAATTTTATTATTTTTCGCTTCTTTGTAGCGTTTTAGGACCAAAACTCCCTTTTGTCGCAGCTTATGGTGTGGCATCTTTTGCCAGGTGCTTCCTTTAAATGCCCAATTTCTTGCATATTACCACATAAACAAAAGGGCCAAAAACTGCCGTTTCTGTCTCGCCATTTTTAAACACGCAAACCTAGGAAAATGAAATACTGTTTTTTATAAGCACCTCCTTAGGTGCTAGGAATGCACCACGTTTTACCACGGCTATAGGGGTATGAAGGACTAAGACAACCAGTTGCAAAAATGATGAGACACTCCCACGAAAAAACGACCTTTCTTGCTTCAAATCGCTCCTGGTCACAGGTCTGTGAGATATAATACTGACCTCCCTCATCCCTCCCATTCAAAGTTGTTCCTCCAAGCTTTGAGTAGCAACTTTGATAAGGGGTGGAGGGGGGATCACAAGCACAAGATCATGGACAGGCCATTTATGCCAAAATACGGTACAGTGTCTCAAGTACTTTTGCAACTGGTTGTAGCGACTAGAGTGCCTCCTCTGGATTTCGCCTTCTGGGCGAAATCCCTGCGGGGGCTATTATCCGCTGACGCTTGCAAGCTGTAGGAACATCGTTTTTTCTCGGTTTCAGACCTCGTCTCACCCCCCCCCCCCCAGGTGGGAAATCTCTGTATTCTGCTAAAATCCCGTTCTGTGTGCCCGTAAGAGCTGTGTTGAACGTGGCTCTGTCAAACCCATTTTCCCAATTTAACTGTTCCCCAAAGTTAAAGAAATCGTGGCGTCTTAATGGTGTCCTTCAGGCCTTTTATGCAAAATTCCGGTCCGTGGTCTCAATGACTTTTGCAACTGGTTTAGGCGCCAGGGGTCCCTCCTCTGGTTTTCCCCTTCTGGGGGAATCCCCTGCGGGGGCTTTTTTCCCCGGACGCTTGCAAGTTTTAGGAACTTCTTTTTTTCTCGGTTTCAACCCTCGTCTCCCCCCCCCCCCCCAGGTGGGAAATCTCTGTATTCTGCTAAAATGCCGTTCTGTGTGCCCGTAAGAGCTGTGTTGAACGTGGCTCTGTCAAACCCATTTCTCCAATTTAACTGATCCTCAAAGTTCAAGAAATCGTGCAGTCTTAATGGTGTCATTCATAAGCAACCACATTTCCTATGGTAAACAATCTAACGCACTTACTAATCCCCAAGGTAATCCCAGATTACCGCTAGTAAAAAAATTCTTAAGGATTCTTATGACCACTACATAAAACTCCCTAGAGACCTATTGCAGAAATAATTGCCTTCAACGAAATTGGAATTCAGAGCAAGAGGTTCCTTTGATAATGACGACTGCTTGGAATTCTACTTAGTTTAAGCGCTAAGCGTAAGTTTGCAAAAGGCATAGCCAAAACAGAACACCAGAGAGCTTGGAACGTAAAAGGAAATAGAGGAATGAAGCCTCACGACAGAGTTGTATACCTTGTCATTTGAAAGCTTGCACGCACTATAGAAACCTGGGTCCAGACCAGTTTAAAAAGTTGTATGGTACCTAGCCTGAGAGCAAGCTCTCCTATTACCCCAAATGGAGAGTTTTCTCGCAGGCTATACGATACCGGTAACTTTTGTAAAGAACCCGGAGTAGTCAATCGATAAAAATCGGTAGCAGTCAAGTGATTTTTATCGGTCAGTGTAAAACGCAGACTGCGGAGTGCAGACTGCAGACTGCGGACCAGGGGTAAAATGCAGACTGAGTGTAAAATGCAGACTGCAGACTGAGAGTAAAACGCAGGCTGGGTGCAAGACGCAGAATAAAGACTGTAGACTTTTTTAAACATTTGTGCTCCTTCTTCTCCAAATCGGTGAAATAGCTAGCTGGTATCAGTTACACACTTCGCTTTCTAATCGAAGTGAATTGCACATTCGCCAGAAGTTTCAATGAACATCCAAACAGCTTAAGTCTGCGTACCTTGATTTGCAATAATTTCATAGAAGGTCATCCAAATTCCCTGCAGAACATCTTTCTTTGTTGTTGGAATGATTTACCCCCTTTTTTATCGCCATAATTCTTCCTGTACAGTATTTTTGGTCAGCAGCTTTCATTGCTGCCGGGCATCAGCCGGCAGCAGCCCATATTCTTGATCCATTTGAGATTTTTGGTTGGATGGTTCGATGGTCATCTGTGACTGCAGCGCTGTGCAGTCAGCGGTTTGCATAGCTGCCGCGCCTGTTTTTCTCTTAGGAGCAACCCGCCATTTTGTTTGGCTCTCATGTAAGATCTGTGCAGAAATCGTAGTTTATCGGATGCTTGCTGTCTTTTTAAACGGCCTAAACAGTAAGAACAGTTCAAGACGTATTGTATGGAACATTTTTTCGGTTTACTTTTTTAATTCAGGTTTCAAGGTTAGTTATAGCGAGTATTCATTTGTCACACAGAT